AAGATATGATATATGAAACAATTGAGACCATCCTCTGGATATGATATTGAATTTAATATTTTAATTAATATTATTCTCAATAATATCCTTAAATACCTTACTTTGGATTATCATAAGAGGAAATATACGACGAGTTTGGGAATAATGTATGCCTTGAATAGACATCATTGACCACATCGGGTGGACACTCGTCTGTAGTGGTGGGCAATGAAACCTTTGGTCGCGGGATAAGTAGTGAACCGATTGACACAAATAAACTGAAAAGTATTCCGCAAATAAAGCCTATTAATGAGCCCTAAAATAAACAATAATCAATTTAAATGTAGCATGAACAATCATTACAATTGCAAACTAAAACACATGACATACCGGTGCCGTAGCGTATGGGTAAAGGATGCCTAACGTGAACAATGCAAACAGCGGTCCGATCATTGATCCAACCAATGCTATGGAGGCCTGGAATACAGTGCCCGCATTGCCCACACCAAAGGACATGGCTATGGCTAACAGTCCGTATGACAGAGCTTTGCGAATCAATTGTTAGTTTATTAACATTTAGTAAATATAAACACTTATAATTCACCGATAATTTTGGTAATATTAAGCGCCTGTTTATCATCATTACAGCGAATCCTCGGTTTAATGATGTCCTCCCAAGTGATGGCCGCCATTGCGTTGAATCCAGAGGACAAAGTACTGAATAGTTTGAATAAAAGTAAAATGTATTATAAGTGGTACACATGTAATGTCACACCTGAGGGATCCACTGAAAACACAGGCGACAAAGAGTCCGGGAAGACCCGGATATTTGGCCAAAGTGTCCATTACAAAGTATGGCATCAGTTGGTCCGGGCGTTTAATAAACCCTAAGGTGATTGGATCGCAATCATGATATTTGGCAAATATAGCCATTCCCGACATCACTGCCATCAATGCCAACACTATTAGTCCCAAGAGATTCCAGTAAAGAGTCCTAACGGTCGAAGTGAAGACAACACTGTTTGATTGTATCCGTAAATCTGTTATCAATTGAATACCTTTTTGCCGTTTGCATTGACCCTAAACTACAATATCGTTGTACTTGTGTTTGCAAAACACAATAATTAGCGCTCCATATAATGGTTGTGCCGATAATCACATTCCAGACGTTGTTATTATTGTAGAGATCAATGTCTAGGCTTTCGGTCATAATTTTAAATTGAATTTAAATTGTGTTCATTAAAAATATATTTGATAATTACTTTACAAATATTAGTCGTCCGCCTCTTTGGTTGATATCCCACATCTCTCGAAGACCTCCCACTTCTATAGCGCCCTTAAATGTGCGAAACAATTATATGCTAATAATGATAACAATTAATATTATTTGCTAATTACTTGGACTATAACCATGAGAACTCCTAAAAACATAAGACTAAACTGTAAGACATCGGTCCAAATCACTGCTTTGATTCCTCCCTATTATGTG